AAGTGTCGTATTGTTGTATGTCGTAAACTTTAAACGCCTAAAAAATATACTAAAGGGGTTCGAAAAGTACCATCAAATNGGTGTCGTAAGTGTCGTATTGTTGTATGTCGTAAACTTTAAACGCCTAAAAAATATACTAAAGGGGTTCGAAAAGTACCATCAAATTCATATTATGCATTCTCGCAGTGCTAAAAAATAGTTGGTTGTGGTTTCAAGTTCTATTAACATTTATTTAAGTTTTTAAGGTTTACGACATACAACAATACGACACCTACGACACCGTTGGGAATCCCTCAATTATATAATATATTATAGGGCTTTGCCGTGCCCTATGTACACAAAATGCAGCGATTTGTAGCAGTGCTTCACTTGTATTTACGCATCTTGCATCTTGACGGCTGTCGCATTTTAACACATGGCACTTAATTTTATTAGTTTTTACGCAGTCTTCAATTCAAAAATCACTCACAAATTGCAATTTATACAGATTTTGCACTTATAATTAAAATTTATCTTTGCCGCTGATATGTAAACAAAGGTTTATTTACAAATTACCACAACTTTCAAAATCCGCAATATCAAAGTAGCGGTCACAGTATATACAGTAATAAACCTTTCTGAGTACTCCTCGGTTGTGAAATCTGATCAGGGTTGATAATGAGGAGGATGGAGAAGGATCATGAATTTTGTTGATTCAGAGTTGTATACAAAATTATTCTGGTATGAAAGGGAGCAACAACCGTACTATGGCAGAGTGGCACAAATCATGACGGTGTAATAGTGCCCGAAACTATTGCAGAAGTGTAAAAGCATTGCAAATTTTTGTCTATTATTATAGATACTAGTATAGATTATCATAGTTCATTTGTTATATTACACCGCACATGATAATGAACTGTTAAATGCTAAAAACGCTTGTAACTTGTATATCACTCAAACTTGGGTTGCTTAATGGATTGTCGGGGCGGATGTGCTGGCACGCACTGGGATCTGCATAGCTATACAAACCTTGTTTTTTTTTTTTAAATAGACTTAAATATATTCGGAAATTTAGAATTTGGCTTGATAAATTCACAAAATTTACGGTTTTCATAAAAAAATTAATTTTACAATGGACTTTCTTTTATTTTAAACTTACATTTAAGAAAACTCCATTCAATGCTATAATTACGATTTGAGTTTTCCAGTTTATAAAACACAAGTGTTATTTATGTACTTAACTATTGATATTATTCTTCATTACGCATGAATATCAGCATACATTAAATATGAACATTATACTTAACCTACATTTTGCNATAAGCTTTTGTGCAATATGTTTATTTGTATATGCATATGAAGCATATTTAACTGATGAAAACATAAGCATTGGATGTTTACATCAATCTCATAGTAGTCTTATTTTAATTTTGAGTCATTTTGCAGTTTTTATACGGCTAAATAGCATATAAATTACGTAATTCACGTGGATATATCAATATTACGTTCATCGTTTAAAATGCCAGATTTCCTGCAAATACATTAGAATTTACGAAAGGAATTTCCTACTAATTGCCTACTTTGCGTACTTTTCTACTACCGTTTTCGAAACAAGGGATTGCATTCTTGCCCTTTCTCTGTCCTTCGTAAATACAGCCTTTTGTAAGGGAGTGTCAAACCGCAGCTGTCAATAATTATCTAACCTTGTATTATTGAATCATGCTCGAAATGTACTTTTTCTAATCGTGAGGCGAAATTCCCCACAGTAAGTGTTACCGTGCGCGCAAAACGAACACGCTGCACACAACCCAAAAGTACTCGTCGGGGACCAAATGGTGAAAAACTGCGAAAAGGTTTATTACTGTATATATTAGGTGCAATCCCGTATTCCTCGGACTCGGACTAGTAAAACTGTCAATAAATAAAAATTCACTCAGAGCGAGAGAGTAGCATTGAAAAGTACGGGATCGCTTTCTAGTAAAAAATGGTAACTTCTGTCAACTTCAACATAACCTCCAAATTTTGGTTGAAAATTTGTGCTTATTTTGTATGTAAACACACTCAGCTCACACATGTAAATAACCAAAAATACTTTCAAATTCATTAGAATCCACTTAAACAAGTAACTAAATACTTTTCAACATGAATTAGCAGAGTGCAATTTTCTTTTGTTTACAATTTGGTTGCCAAACACACTACAGCTGATCGTTTGACACATTTACCAGAATTTACCAGCAAAAAATTCTTGGACTAAAACTGGTAACTTCTGACAGAGAGAGAACCGTATTTACTCTCTTTTTTGTCCTCTCAATAGTCAGAGAACAGAGTACGGGATCGTTTTCCAGTAAAATCTGACTGATTCTGACTATTTCTGACTAGGCCGGACTCGTACGGGATCGCAACTATTGTGGTAGCGGTACCACTGACAGCGCTACCTTCATTCGCTGCAAGGTGAGTTTTACCCATAGCGCACGATTTTCTCACCAGTGTTGCCGTGACGCCATGAAGAAATACATCGTAACAGAAACAAAAAATAGATCAAATGTATCACATTTTTTTTAGGTATCAAACTATAAAGTTAGAAAGAATTTAAAAAATCATATTTGGTTGCATACCTCTGCTTATTATTATTCTCAATAACTGGAGTACAATGGGGTATAGTCGTTGCGCTGGGTATGCAGTTACAGTTGCATAGCTATACTCAATCCCGACTCTTGCGTCCATGTCCATGTTTGCGCACTCTGGGCAACGTGAGCAACCCATATGCAAGATGCGGTAACCAATCAGAGTGGAGCCTTGGGTCACGGCAGAAAGAGAGGAAGCTTCGGTGGGGCCACTCCGACTTACTCGGTTTAAGGGCTCACTAAAGTTGCAGCGTCTGTTCACCAGTAGGTGCGGCTGCAAGCGGGTGTCTACTTGGAGCAAGCGGCTCGCTATATAAACGTGTATTTGGTTGCAAAACCAGCCCCGTCCCAACAATGGGTTGTGCGCCGGGCTTGCGACCCGCTAGGTAAAAACCACTTTCAGCGAAGAAGCGAGGCAAAGCCTTGGATGAGACCCCCCGTACGACCACGGCAAACGTTTAAAGGACTATGATTTGAGGGCATGCACCTGGAATGTCCGGACCCTTAATGGGGAAGGTGCCTCTGCCCGGCTGGTTGATGTCCTCGTAAGGACAAAAGCTGACATCACCGCCATCAAAAAAATGCGTTTTACGGGGCAAGGCAAGCAATGTCTAGGGCCTTGCGACGTCTACTACAGCTGCCATGTGAAGGAGCGCAAATTCGGAGTTGGATTTGTGGCGGGAGAGAGACTCCGTCGCCGAGTACAGCTCCGTCAGAATTGGGAAAGACCTCGTTGACATCGATATCATCGGTATCAAAAACCGCGAAGTCTGTTCTGCCTTTTCCATTAAGGAAGCAAAGCGAATGGGACTGGTGGTAAACGAGGACAAGACGAGGTATCTCCTGTCATCAAACAAACAGTCAGCACATTCGCGCCTTGGCGCCCACGTCACTGTTGACAGTTTTAATTTCGAGAAAGTAGAGAATTTCGTTTACTTGGGAACCAGCATTAACACCGATAATAATGTCAGCATGGAAATCCAACGTAGAATCACTCTTGCCAACAAGTGCTACTTTGGACTGAGTAGGCAATTCAGGAGTAAAGTCCTCTCTCGACGTACGAAAACCACNGTGCTGGTAACAGCTGACTTTAAAAACAGTCACTGCCACTGCCACTGCGCTATTGTATTTCGGCCTTTAGACATTAAGCGACATCATGAATTTGTATGAGTTTGACATAAAAGAAGAGGAAGAACCTTATCTGTCGCCAGAAAAATAGAAATAGATCTAATCTGGCCACAACCACAGCCGTCGCGTAGCTCGATCGTCGCCAAAATAATTATCTACATAAGAGCACGTGTTAAAATAATTTGACAGCTGTGGTTTGTAGCTCGTCGTTTTCATTGTGTTCGGGCTATTAGAATTAACTAGACATGGTGCAAACGGCCCTAACAGGTATATTCTGCGCTGGTAATAAAGAGTTTGTCACTGGTAAATAAAGTTCCCGTCAATTTTTAAACCCTTTTCGCATTCTGTGCACTCTTGTAACCGGTAAATTTTGTTACCATCTCATAAGCTGGTAACAAATTATTTCCCCGTAAAATATGCAATGCCAGGATTTGCACAATTCTTCATAGCTGAATTGCTGAATATTTTAACTGCATTACCAACGTACCTAGAATCACGGTGACAAGAACTGGTAACATTTTTTGGTAATACAATTTTCCGGTTGCAAAATCTTCGGTAACGTGCAGAATAGACATGTAAAAAGCAGTTTCAGATGTGAACTAGTGTCATTTTATTATTATTCTTTTTTCTAAACGGCTTTAATGCGCCATTAGTGCATAATTTCGAAAGAAGGCGCGGCGTGACGTGGTGTGAACTCGGAACGTCGCTACGCTGAGCACTTTCTAAATTGTAGACATACTAATCCGTTCATTTAACTTGTTCATGTACTACTTTTTTTCAAATGTACCTGGGTGACTAACCACATATGTGCATTATTTTACTTTATTATTTAATCGTTAAGTTTAAAAGTTGGTGTTATTGCTCAACGAGAAATGAAATAAAGCAAATTTGTGTTATTTCACATTCAATTCGGAAATAATACAAATTCGCGTTATTATCGTTTGTGTTATTTCACCAAATGTTGTGCCAAAAATTTAAAAAATCGATGTATCGCTGTCAGAATCGATCTTTTTAGCACCACCTCTACAGCTGATTCTTCAGATAGTTCGTTTGACGACTTGTTTATGAGTAGGAGTTGCAACATTTTTGCAAAAGTAGTTATTTGTTATTTTACAATAAGTTAAAGCAGTTAAATATGGATGCTGAAGCTTCGCGCAAAACTTGGGAGCTGGAGAATAATGTGAAGACACTGCCGGCATGCGATGAAATTTTCCGCTATGATGCCGAACAACAGCGACAGATTCTCGACGCCAAGCCGTGGGAAAAGGATCCTCATTATTTTAAGGATATCAAAATATCTGCATTGTCTTTGCTTAAGATGGTAATGCATGCACGTTCAGGTGGAACTCTCGAGATTATGGGTCTGCTGCTTGGTAAAGTTGAAGATAACACCATGATTGTAATGGACGCTTTCGCATTGCCCGTAGAGGGTACCGAGACTCGTGTAAACGCGCAGTCGCAAGCCTACGAGTACATGTCTGCTTATATTGAGGCAGCTAAGGAGGTGGGGCGATTGGAAAATGCTATCGGATGGTATCACAGTCATCCCGGCTATGGCTGTTGGTTGTCCGGCATAGATGTATCAACACAAATGCTTAATCAAAACTATCAGGAACCATTTGTTGCAATAGTTGTGGATCCAGTACGCACAGTGTCAGCAGGAAAAGTATGTTTAGGTGCATTTCGAACCTATCCCAAGGGTTATAAGCCACCGAATGAAGAACCTTCTGAGTATCAGACTATACCTTTAAACAAGATTGATGATTTCGGCGTACATTGTAAACAATATTATCCGCTTGAGGTAACTTATTTCAAATCTGCACTCGACCGAAAGTTATTGGATTCTTTGTGGAACAAATATTGGGTAAACACACTAGGCAGTTCTGGCTTACTGACCAATACAGAATATACCACAGGCCAAATATTCGATTTGTCAGAGAAGCTCGAGCAGAGTGAGTCAAGTTTAGTGCGAGGACCATTTGTGGTTTCAGGTAGGCGAAAAATATTTAAAAAAAAGATTTTTAAATGGACTTGTATTTATTCCTATCTTTTGTTTTCTAAGGTGCTGAAGGAAGCGAGAAACGTACAGAGGATAAACTTTCAAAAGCTACGCGTGACTGTAGTCGGGCATCCATTGAACTAATTCATGGTCTTATGGCGCAAATTGCAAAAGACAAGCTATTCAATAGAGTAGGACTGGGTAAATAAATTCAAACGCAACGCGCAAAATAGCGATAAACGTTATTCTTCATATTTTTAATAAACTATGAATAATTTATACATGCATCAGTTAATTACCAAAAGGAATAAGTCGCAATTTTTTTCATATGACAATTTTGATGCAGTTCGGTTCGTGTAAAGGAACTCTGTTGAACTGCTTCAAATTTGCATATCGGGGAAAAAGTCGACCCTTTAGTAAATAACCGATTCACATATATCAAAAAAAAAATTTATATATTGTAACATTTCCGCAAAAATAAAAACTGAATTATCGTTTGTTCTGCGTCGTTATTGTGGCGGCTACTTAAACTCTTAAGAATAAAATTTTAATGCGTTTTCCGCTTACTGCGACCAAGGAAATGGATTTCTTGACGCAAGATCAGCAAAAATATGTGTTTGAAACTTTTTAAAAAGTTCACTGCACGCTGTTTTCAGGTCAAAAAATTAAAAAAATTTAAAACCCACTTAATTTGAAGGTCATTTGAAACGTTTTATCCAACGAAACTATGGCCCCTATTATGAATTGCATTTGATCTTCGACTGTGGTCGAAATTGCTAATCGAACGAATTTTCATCTGGTATTATCAGAGAACGTAAATCTATAAATAAATATACGTTCTCTGCTTTCCCACTAATAATTCACAATAGAGCAGTTTTTTCACTTAACAACACTACTCTTCAGGTCGCGTATGTTTTAACCGACCCGGCTGAACTCGGATAAATAGCCGAGTTTGTGTTGTTGCTTTGCGTGTATTTCATTATTTAAGCGAGTGTTCTTTTGCAGACGCTATTTAATGAATTAATATTTTGCATGAATCGAGGAAATAATAGTTTAGCAACAATTTATTAGGAAATAAACCTAATTACTTTAATATCATAAAAATTTATTCAAATAAAAAAATTTTCTATTTAAAATAATAAAATCGAAGCTAAAAATAAACTAAAAAAAAATATTTATTAAAAAAATAAACCAAAATTAAATAAAAAAAGAAAAAAATATCCACTGCCCCACGACTCGTACTCGAACTCGGCTCTCTCAAATGGCAGTCTAGAGCTTTGCACGCTCAGCCATTGCGCCTGATTGGGCAGCGTGAGCAAAATGACATACATAGATGTCTGTTGTTTCCTTTGCACTAACTGATTTTGAATCAGCATTCGAAGCTGGCAACGATATTTTCGAGTTCACTCGGATTCAATGTTGCCAGAACTTTTTGGGCCGACCGGCTAGATTAGCAAAAAAAAAAGCGGCTAAAAACGGCTAAAATGTTTTAGTGAAAATTC